TTTTACTTCCTTTTCTTTTCTGATTGCCATGGCTAGGACTTCCAAAACTATGTTGAATAAAAGTGGACCTACTTGTCTTGTTCATGATCTAAGGGAAAATGCTTTCAGTTTTTCAGTGTTGAGTATGATGTTAGCTGTAGGTCTGTCACATATGGTCTTTATTATGTTGACATATATTCTCTCAATGCTTACTTTCTGGAGAGATTTTTTTATCATAAATGGATGTTGAGTTTTGTCAGAAGCTGTTTCTGCATCTATTGAGATGATCGTATGGTTTTTATTCTTTAATTTGTTGATGTGGTGTATATAGTATCCTTCTTTATTTTTCTTTATGGCCTTTGTTTTAAAGTTTATTTTGTCTAATAAGAGTATTATGACCTCTGCTTTCTTTTCTTTTGAATCTGCATGAAATATCTTTTTCTATCCCCTCACTTTCAATCTTTGTGTGTCCTTTGCCCTAAAAATGGGTCTCTTATAAACAGCATATTGTAGGCTCTTGTATTTTTTTAATCAAGTTGCCACTCTGTGGATTTGATTAGAGCATTTAGACCATTAACATTTAAGGTGATTATTGATAGATATGTATTTATTGCCATTTTAAACCTTGCTTTCTCATTTAATTTAAATTTCTTCTTTGTCACTTTGTTGTTGTGGTTTGATTTTCTTTTGTATTATATACTTAATGTTCTCTTCTCTTTGGTTTCTGTGAATCTACTGTATGTTTTTGATTTGTGGTTATCCTGTTTTTCAATTATGTTAACCCCTTCCTATATCTACTTGCCTTAGACTGATAGTCATACAGGCTCAAACACAATGTAGGAGAAGTAAAAATCTATACGTTCTTGCTCTTCTCCACATTTTATAACTTTGATGTCCTCTTTCATATCTTCATTGTTAGGGAAATTAAAATAGAGGTAGTCTTGTTCAGGCTTCAGAAGCAGGAGAGCAGGCCTCTGACTTCTGACCTTGCCAGGACTGTGTGCCTGCCTCTAAGTACACCACTTGTTGCTGGAAAGTTAAGGGGCACTTTCCGTAAGAAAGTTTAGTGGGTCTTGGAATTTTCTTAAGCCCTTGAGGGCCCGGCCAGCCCCCTCCCCTCTCCAGGGTCTAAGAAGTCTTATGAATCACAAGGAGAAACAAATAGCATTGTAAAAGTTAAAGGAAAAAACCAGGGCTGCTGTTTTGCATACAAAGTGATGAATATATCAGTTTTTGGCCTGGGATTATAAGCAGGAGCTCCAAAAACTGCAATTTCAAGTCTTAACCCGTGGAGTGTATACACTTCCTGGGACCGTTTCCCAACTGGAACTCCAGATTGCTGTCATTCAGGACTTTAAAGCACTATTCAAGTCTAGATGTCGGTTGTCGGCCCAATTTGGTGATAATGTATGTTGTTACTTCTCTGTATTGCTTCTACTTCTTTCCTTTAATGACTATATAATTGAAACTAAGTCAAATAATCCTCTACTAGAATATTAAAATTGTTCATTGTGTGTGCAATGAGTGGTTGCTTTTGTTAACTAATCCTTTGAACTGAAAATGAGATAAAACTTTCAGCAAAACATTCATGTTTGTCCTTTTGCTGTTCATTTTAATTGTTGTTACTTTCATAGAAATTTTTTGATTTAATTTTAAATCTGTGTACTGGCTTATCAGTTTACTGGTTTTTTTTCTTGGTAGCTCAGTTGATAAAGAATCCACCTGCAATGCAAAAGACCCTGGTTCGATTCCTGGGTTGAAAAGATCCGCTGGAGAAGGGATAGGCTACCCATCCCAGTATTCTTGGGCTTCCCTTGTGGCTCAGCTGGTAAAGAATCCACCTGCAATGTGGGAGACCTGGGTTCCTGGTCTCCTGGAGAAGGGAAAGGCTACCCCCTCCAGCATTCTGGCCTAGAGAATTCCATGGACTGTACAGTCCATGGGATCACAAAGAGTCAGACATGACTGAGGAACTATCACTTTACTTCCCAACTGTGATTTTCTCTTAGCTATAGATTATTTCTTTTCTATTTGGAGAAGGCCTTAATATTTCCTTTAGGATAGGTTTAGTACTGTTTTATGCTTTGGATTTTGATCTGAGAAACTCTTTCTCTCTCTATTCTAAGTGGTAGTCTTGCTGGGTAGAGTATCGGAGGTTGCAGGGTTTCCCCTTTCAGGGCTTTGACTATGATCTTGCCACGCCCTCCTGGCTGCAGCATTTCTGTAGAGAAATGAGCTGATAGCCTTATGGGGGCTTTCTTGTCGTTAACTCTGTTTTTCTCTTGTTGCTTTCAGAATCCTCTCTTTATCTTTTGCCATTTTTATTATAATATGTCTTGGCATAGATCCGTTAGGGTTTATCATACTTCAAACTCTCTGTGCTTCCTGTACCTTATACCTGTTTCCTTTAGGTTTGGGAAGTTTTCTGCCATAATTTCTTAAAATGCATTTTCAGCCCCCTTTTCTTATTCTTCCCCTTCTGGAATCCCCATCATGTGTACATTGGCATGCTTTATACTATCCCATACGTCTCTTATATTGTTTCTAGTTTTTTTTTCCATTTGGCTTTCTGTCTGCTGTCCTGATATGATAAAGGGAATAACCCAATCTTCCAGATCACGTATTCAGTCTTCTGTAATGTTCATTGTGCTGTTCATCGCCATTAGCTCAGCTTTCATCTCTGTAAATGAGTTTTTCTAATTTTTCTTGATCTCTTTTTCTAATTCCTAGTTCCTTTTTACAGTATTCTTCATTTCTGTCAATAGCCTTTCTTAATTCCTTCAGTATTTTCATTAAGTCCTTTCAAAAAATTGGTGTCTATTAGGCTGAAAAGGTCTGTTTCATTGTTCTTTCAGGGGAATTCTCTTGGTCTTTTAACTGAGAGTAGTTCCTCTCTTCTTCATTTTACTTCTCTTACCTTGTGAATTTAAGAGAAAGAATTACCTACTGTGGTCTTGGAGGGCTGTTTATATGTGTAGCTTGTGTGGGTTTAATACATTTGGTGCAAGGGCTGTTTTAGTACCGATGCCTGTTGCCTCTTTCCTCAGTATGTGCTGGTCATCATCCTCTTGATATAGGGTGTGCCCAGTCCTGGGATTCTTGGCAGTGGTGGTGGCGCAGGCGTGCCCCCCAAGGCACATGATGGGGGAAGAGCTGGTTCACAACCACTCTTTGGGGCTGGGCATCTTTTCCAAGGTTCAGGCTTCTTGACAGAATTTTGAATTTTTTCTTCAAGGAATACTACTTACTTCTGATCCCTTAGGTCTGCTCCGCATTCTTTTTCTCTTTTTTCCATCAAGTTGCAGGTCATGTTCCAAACTTGAGGGAAAATAAAAACTACAGCTGGAACCCCTCCCCTCTAAAGGTAAGTCAAAAGCCCCAGCTCCCTCATAGAGAAGTGCTGCCTGTCTTTGAATCAGAAAACTTCTTAAGGAGCAAGGGTGTCCACTTCAAAATTCTTGCTGCTTTAAAAAAAAAAAAACAACTCTTTTTCCTTTAAAGTTGGGTTTTCTTTTTTCTCCAGTTGGGTAGAAACAAGAAATTTCACTGTCATACTGTGGTGCGACACTCTCATTCAGATATATTATCCAGGGTTCAGAAATAAAGCAAAAAATTCCTGCAGTCCTTACCAGGACTATACTAGAGCACTGTCTAAAGATAGGAGTGCCCGAGGATTACAGAATTCTCTAGGGAGTATGCCTTCTCTGTTTACTAATGGCATTTGATTAGAACCCACATTCTATGAAGTTATATGTTAATTTATAAATTTTTGTTTGATAAAAGTTGCAAGTGAGTTCTGCCCATTTGAAAAAATAACCCTCCAAAATTCTAATTGTATTCTCCTGTATGAAATTTATTCAGTTTTTTCTCTAACTCAGCAAATGGAGTTCATTTGCCTTTCCTGGTGGACTGTAATACCTGATAGTCTTTAAACCTAATTATCACCTTTAGGTTCCTTTATTGTTGGGTTAAATAACTCTCTGATAAATTTCCAGGCTTTATTTACATGCAAGTTATGTTTTTAACCTTACTGATACCATAAAGGTCTGTTTCCTTTGCTTAGTATGCAGAAAAAAGCAGGCCTGGCTGCTATCCTTGTAAGGTTAGCCCATGGCTGACATCTGGGAAGTTGGATTTCATGGTTTCCCACTACCCTGACTAGAGTGGCTCATGGTGCCTAAACTGTTTGTAGAAACAATATGGTTTGTATTGAATACCTGCTTTCCTTTGCAGAGTCTGGAATTTTGGTATGTTATAGGCAGAGGGTGCCTTCATGTTTTTGTTCAGTCACTAAGTCAGCTCTGACTCTTTTGAGACCCCATGGACTGTAGCCCGCCAGGCTCCTCTGTCCATGGGATCTTCCAGGTAGGAATACTGGAGTGGGTTGCCATTTCCTTCTCCAGGGGATCTTTGCAATCTGGGGATCGAACCCATGTCTCCTGCATTGCCAAGTGGATTCTTTACCACTGAGCCACCAGAGGAGCTTTCGTGACCAGATCCCAGTTACAACTCTGGGTGCTGAAACTCTAGGGAGGTTCCCTGGTAGCTGACATTCACACAAAGTCACAGATTTTTGATGGGGAATGGGATGTATCCTGTGTCACTCCATGGGAAGAAACCTCTTGGAAGCTTGCACCTAGTTTCCTCCAGACTTTGTCCCGTATGCCTTTCCCCTTTGCTGATTTTACTCTGTATCTCTTTACCATAGTAAGTTATAACCATGAGTTCTTGAGTACAATTATATACTGAATCTTGTGGGTCCTCCTAGGAAGTCAGTGAATCTGAGGGTGAGGCAGAGCACCCCTTGAAGGAGTTAGTTACAGGCATTTTTACACAATAATTTTTGCAAAATTTTCCACAAATTCATTTTTACAAAATATTCTAGTGTTCTAAAAATTGACTAGCTCCTTTTTGATATTAAGAAAGGGCCTAGATGTCATGAGGGGGACTATCCCTCCCAAGGTCGTTCAAGTGAAAACCTTATATTTCCTCTCTAAAGCCAAATTTGGGAATCAACTCACTGGTGTCTTGATATGATCCATCAGGGCAGTGAGTGACACAGCTGTTGGTTTCTTCATTCAGGAAGTATCCATATTTACAGGACAGGCACTGGTCCCCGTGGCTCCCGAAGCAGGACTCGCAGTTGGGGGCACACTTTCTGCATCGCTTCTTGTCAGCATGGTAGTGGCCAGGAGGGCAGCTGGGGACACAGATTCTGCGTTGTGGAATGACAAAGAAGAGCAGTGTCACCAGAGATGCAGTCCTGAGTAAGTGAGGTGCTGAGCACACAGCGGTCCTCATTCTCAAAATCCTTTTTAAACATCCAAAGGGTAAGCCTTCTCGTATGTAGGGTGCTGACGTAGCACTGCAGTTACATAATACCAAGTCCATCAAGCAAGGAATGTCTTGGTCCAAACCGTCTTCCAGTTCAGGTCTAGCTCTTTAAAGGGGATGATGGTTAGGAACTGAGTCTCGACAAGAAGGGTGTCTGTTGGGTTGAAGGGAAGATGTGTGAGTCATGATTTTATGCAAAAATCCCTATATAAGGGATTAACTTCTATTGTTGTATATTATTATATGAATTCTGGGGTGTGTGTGCTATTGTCTAAATTAATATATTTAGGGAGTTCCCTACTGGCTTAGTGGTTTCTGGGCTTTCACTGATGCAGCCCTGGGTTCAGGCCCTGGTTGGGGTACTGAGATCCTGCAAGCTGTGTGGCATAGCCAAGAAAAAAAATGTATTTGAAAATGTATGCTGTTTATGATAAAAATAATAAAAAACTTCTTTGTTTGCCCATAACTGAAGGTCTGGGCTTTACTTATTCATTTAACAAGTACTTACTAATTAAATGTTAGGCATTTGCCAGTCTAGGAGATAATGAGAGGGGCTGGGGTAGCCAAGGACTTTTCCTTTTAAGAAATTTATTTTTAATTAAAAATTGTTTTTAAATTTAATTTTTGCTTTATATTCCCTTTAAGGAGCTGAAATTCCAGCATGGATGTGACAGGAAGGGGACCTGGGTGACTGGAGTGTGGCTACCCTGCAGCTTGGCTTTGCAGAGTGAGTTTTCTTCTGAAACAGGAGGGAGAGGTGTTAGGGGTGTGGGAAGCAGCCTGGAAGAACATGGCTTCTGATGGGCTGTGTGTTCCACAACCGTCCCTGTGGATACATATCTGCTCAAGGCAGAAGCCAAGGGCTCAGAAGCATGGGTTCAAGCAGGCCTGCCTCAGAGCAGTGAGAACGAACAGGGACCGGCGGCTTTGCCACATGGAAAGCTTACACTTTGAGGGATTCAGAAAATCATCCATTTCCTGGAGGGAAAGTGCAGCTGTGGGGCCTCAAATGAAATGGGATGGAAAGGTCTAGAAGGGAAGATCAGGCATGTGCCTATCTAGCCCCTCCCCATCATCCTTTGAAATATGAGAAAAGACCTCTGCAGTTTCCTAGCCTACAGACCAAAATTGGGTGTTTCATAATTCAGTATCAGTTTCACTATTCGAATGATGCAGCGAGGCGTAGGGGCCTGTGCAGCAGCATCTGGACTTCGGTTCTGGGGGGAGACCATGGAACACCCCGCCCCTGGTGAACCGTGGGAGCTCCCAGGAACGGTCACCTGGGAGCGTGCTTCCGGTACCCTGATGGGGCATCTCTCTTACCTGGTGTTATTTTTCAGCTTGTAGTAGTAGTGCAAACAGTCACTGCAGTGGTCGGGTCCTGGCCCATCACAGCCCACCTCACTGCACTCAGGGTCACAGGGACCTCCAAAAGAAATCAGAACAACACTTGGAAAAAGTGATTTTAAGCAAGTAAGTGTTAACTTGAATTTGGGATAAAAATAGGCTTTTTCTCCCCCTTATGCAGTAAGAGTTTTCCTTAAGAGTTTCTGATGCACTGAGATGGAATAATGTTTTAGTGTGGCTATAAGCCCAGAGATGAATTCTTGCTTTTCTAGGGGTGAACCTCAATTACCTAAGTATCAAGCATGTAACTCCTAGTCGGGACCTTGTCTTCAAAGTACACATATAGATGCTTTGTGGGAAATGACAAATAATCCAGAATTCAAAAGAAAAAAACCACTGCAGCAACTAGAAAAAAAAAAACTGATTGCAATTAAATATGCATAATAAGAAAAATGTTGGATTTATAGAAAAATGAGAGTTTTATGCTGTTGGCAGAAAAGAAAAGAGGGCTGTTATTCAATGTCCTGACCAGACTGCCTCTCTCATCCAAGGTCATTAAAGCCGCTGAGTACCTCTGAGACTCTGGAACCAGAAAGAAACATCATTATGGCACCTGGCACAGTTTTATCAGCATCTCGTCTTGGATTACAAAGCAGGTACTTCAGGCACAGATAATAGATTTAAAATTGCATCCTACCCACAGGCCAATGGGCGACTCAATAAAAGAAAACTACACCTAAGTTTTTAAAAGATGCAAGCAAGCTTAAAGAATTCCAGACCAAGGATGAAGGTTCCTCATCTCTGTTGCTGTGTATTCTTTGGTGATGAACTAGAAAGAATGCACAGGCAGGGGAAAAAAAAATGCTAAAAAGAGCTATTTTGTGATTGGTGAAGAGAGATTTTCTAATGACATGGGCTAGTTATAGATAATTTACTTCTTTGACTGACTCCCTTTTTTTGTTTTCCATAGTTTGAGACATTTGGTCTCATAATCTTCAAGCTATTTCCCATTGAAAACTCATATGATTTTAACTAGTGATTTACATGGTGCATGAAATATACAAAAAGTCAGTCAAGGGTACCAGAATTGTCTTGAGCCACACTTATTTTAATCAAAAGGTCTTACTTTTGTTGAAATTTGGTTTCCTTTAGTCATTGTAGAACTATGTTCTACAGTTACTAATTGAAACATAAAATGGTAGGAGGAGGGGAGGAATGACCTGGAGAAAAATCTAGTAGCCATATACCCTCATTCTACAGATAAAAATGATTTTTCCAAAAGTTATAGTGGCTTGCCTAGTTGATCATACAGCTAGCAGAGTTGGGGTCCACAGAGGTCCTGCTTCTTAGTTCAGGCCTCCTACTTAGGGGTAGGTCATGACCTTTGGATCTGAATAGAAATGAGTCACTTTAAAATGCTACAGACTTGACGTATATTTCTGCTTAATCATAAGAGTAATTTGACAGCACTGTTTCTGTTTTCTCAAAAGCCTTAAAATTGATCTTGAAATTAAGTTTCACAGCTATTGCAACTTGGAACATTTTAGCTGACTACTGTAGTTCATGAGGAGAGAGTGCTTCTGCTAAGCAAGAGTTGAAGTTCAGCCAGCTGTGGGTCCCACAGTGCCTGGAATTGGATGAACCAGTACAGGGACCTAGTTATGAGAATGCCATCTGACCCTCTCAAAGGCTGATTTAATGAAGATGAAAATCACAGCTCCAAAGAGAAGGAGTTATTGGGTGGCCCTAAATTTTCACCAGATGATTTCTACAATTAAAAAAAAAAATCCCAAACCATTTATTTTTGATATGTGCCAAAGGACTCTGTATGGCAGGGTCACATGCTGTGCTGTTTCTTTCATAATCCTAAACTATCCCAGATGCAGTTTAGCATTTTAGGTTGCTGGGTAATAATGAAATAATTGTCTTTGTTTTCTCACAAGTGCCAGTGTGGACATTTTGGAGATGCAGTGAGAAAAACCACAAAATGTATATAACTGTTTGGAATTTTAACATTACCAAAATTTGAATGGGAAACATACCATAACACACACAGTAACATATTACTGGTATGCTCCATTTATGTTTTTAGATATACTTTCTCCTATCAGAGAAGACAAAATAAATGGTTTGCTGGTTGTAACGTGAGTAGTAATGCTATAAACTTAGAGCAAAGTTGAACACAGTCTCACTCTGCTTAGTTCAATTGGTCTGAGTTCTCTAAGTTGCTTATTGACACTGGGATGCTACCTGCTCAGAATAAAAGGAGCCAAACGCATATTTTAAATACTCTGAAAAATAAAGTGATTAATGAAAAAGAATTGCAGAGAGCTTAGCTGCAGGAAGACAAGATGGTCCCGGTCTAAGGGTACAATAAGCTGATATTTAAAAACAGTTCTCCATTAGGGAAAGCCTTTTCCGTTAAGTGTTACATCCCAGAAGAAGTAAATGCTGCTGGAAGTGGTAAACAATACAATAAGACAAGACTCACAAATACACTGGGAAAGAGAAAAGATAATTTGCAGATGATACGGCTACAGTACCTAACTGCTCCAGAAAACCAACTCTAAAATACACAAAAACTCTAAAATACAACTAATAAAGTTAAGTGAAATGGTCAGATGTAAGGTAAACATACAATAGCCAATAGATGTCTCTGATACCAGAATACAGTAGTTAGAAAATATGGAATGTTTTCCATTACAGTAGTAACTAGACCCAAAATATGTAGAAATAACACTACCAAGAAAAACACTTCATAAAATTAAAGGATTTCAGTAAAAAAAGTCTGTTTTGGATGGAAAGACTGTAAACTGTAAAAACCATTCTTCCCATGAGATTGCATGTAAATTCAAACTAAATTTCAATGAGATTTCTAAAGGGGGACTTAAGAATTGCTATGAGAATAAGTAGATGTTCAGCATATTAATATATTGTGGGTGCTACTGGATTAAGTATTATTAGATTGATAAATCAGAAAAAGTGGACCAGAAGAGACCCTGGTATAAGAACTTACTGTGCTATTATAAAGGAAACAATCTACTATAAGTAGGGATGGCAACTCAGTCATTAGTCTATTTGGAAGATAAAGACAGAACATCACTTTACAGTATATATTATAAATCAAAGTAAGTTCTAGATAAGTTAATGGCCAAATGTAATATCAGATTACAAAACTATGCATGTGGATATTTATTTTTAAAGAATAAAGATTCTGTAAAAAGAAATTATAAAGGTTATATGAAACTATAAACTCTGCCCTCCAAAGAAAAACTGCATTTTGGAAGCAGGTGATGAGAGAAATGGTTTTCAGCAAATATGAGACAGTGCGAGAGTCAATAACATACAAAGCGTTTTTATAAGTAAGAAAAGTGCTGCCACTTTGAATTGAAAAGTGAACTCAACTACAAAGGAAAAAAATGTTTAGCTTTCCTAGCAGTCAAAGCTGTAACAATTTAAATCTGTTCTTTTGCTTTCTTCTTTCCACTCAAAGCTGGCAGGAATACTCATCACTGGTCATGGTGTGGACTAGTACATCTTGTCTGGAAAGCGACATATCCAAGCCCTAAAACTGATGCTTCCCTTTGATGTGGTAATTCTTAGAACTCTATTCTAAAGAAATAGTTAAAGATGCTATAGTCAAAAACTGATAATGATATTCATTGAGCTTATATTTAAAATAGTGTAAAAAATAATATAAAGCAAACTACATATCCCAGATTATGGATTAAATGTAATACAATCACAGGATGGACGATTATGCTATCTTTTAAATATGTGTTCTAAGGATATCTGACAACAGGGAAATATGCTCTTAATATCTTTAATGGGAAAAAAGGATATGAACATTCTATATACAGTGTTGATTTTAGTTTTGAAGAAGAAACATTGATATTTGAATATATGAATATATGTACACATACAAATATGTTTAAGGGATAGGAAGATGGATTAAAATAGATCACAATATGAGTAGAAGTGTGTCTCCTTGGGGGAATGACGCATGAGCTTTTTCCTTAGCCTGCCTTCTCACCGGAAGCCAGCTCACCTGCATAATCCTCCATCCCATAGTCGTCGGTGGGGTCTTCCACTCGGCTGTACCGGACACGCTCCACTTTAGGAAACTCATTGGTGGGGGAGTATGGCTGCACAGAGGTGCCATAGAGGACCAGAGACCATTCTTTCAATTTACCTTGGGAAACAATAATAAAAGTATATCATGGGCAAACATTCTCCCTTGAGCTTTACAATTTCTTTCATTCCTTCTAACTAAAGAAAAAGCAGTAGAAGAACAGAACTGTGGGAAACAGATTCCTATGAATCATTGCATCACATACAGGGCTAGAAATGCATTTTCCACTGCGTGCAGAATTAACTATTTAATAATTCACATACCATGTATTTCCTGAGTAACAGTTGCAGGATACATCCTAATTTAATCTTTTTTGTTTTTTTGTGAGAAACAACCATCTCAGATTGCTGGATCAAGGACTGAATTTCAAATTATGAGTATCTAAGAGAATCCTAGAATCTTACAGAAGGCCTTCTTTTTCTAAGTATAAAGGTCTTATTCACATTTAAAAGCAGGATTGACATTCTCTGACTTATCAAAAATAAAAAGATTATAACAACTACTTTGTTTCATCCGATTCAAGTGATCAGTCTGTCTTAAGAATACATCACTATGTTAACTGATAGACCTGTGCTGTCCAGTGAAAGCCACTAGACTCATTTGGCTGTTTCCATTTAACTAAAATTTAAAACCTCAGTTCTTCCGTCAGACCACATTTCAAGTGCTCAGTAACCACATATGACTGGGAGCACCACGGTGGCCAGCGCAGCTATAGGAAACATTTCACTGCCGGCAGCATGTCCTGCTGGGTGGCGCTGTCGGAGCATTTCCTGGCCAAGGGTGCCCGGGGCATGGGGGGCATGCTTTACGGCCGTGGGATGGCAGGCGCTCAAGGAGCATTTGCTCACTCCTTATTTAGTCATTCATTTCAGCTTTATAAAACTAAAATCTTTAATGCAAAAAGTAAACAGAAAACATATCTCCCTGACTTAATATAGTTCTTTTTAATATGAATCTTAAGTAAAAGTGATCAAAACAGAATCATTAAAAACATGGAAATATGCTGGCAGGAAGGTAGGATACTTATCCCCCCACTTAGATCTCCTCCTTACCTTGGCACAATACAGAGAATCTAGGTAAGGTTGGGGTTGGGCTCTGTGAGTGATGAACTTCAGATGTCTCATAATTTATTTGTGAGCATCTATTATCCCCATCAAATTGATGCTTATTTTTTATAAGTGCTTACCATATGCTAAGTACATTTTATTCTGTTCAGTGGTCACAAGTGGGAAATAGATATTTTCACTGAATAGATGAGAAGACAGAGGCACAGAGGCTGATAAAGTTCCCAAAAGCAGTAAGAGGACAGACTGATATTAAAACCCATTTGGGGGTTCTGATTTAAGAGTATTATAGGAAGGTCGTGAACTCACTGCTGCTCATACACTTGGTGAATCAACAGCCACACGTGGGACAGTTTCCTCCAGAAGAAAAAAACCAAAGCAGCTGAGTGGCTCCTGTGTGTGTGTGCCCAGTCGTGTCTGATTCTGCAACACCATGGACTGTAGCCCGCCAGGCTCCTCTGTCCATGGGATTCTCCAGGCCAGAATACTGGAGGGGGTTGACATGCTCTCCTCCCATAGATCTTCCCGACTCAGGGATCGAACCTGTCTCTCTTAGGTCTCCTGCATTGGCAGGCAAGTTCTTTATTACCAGCACCACCTGGGGAGCCTGATCCTTCTCAAATTCTTCCAAAAAATAGAAGAGGAAGGAATACTTCAAAACTCATTTTATGAGGTCAGTATTATTACTCCAATGGGTTCCCAGGGAGCACAATGGTAAAGAATCTGCCTTCCAAGGGTTTGATCACTGGGTTGGGATGATTCCCTGGAGTAGAAAATGGCAATCCACTCCAGTATTCTTGCCTGAAAAATTCTATGGCCAGAGGAGCCTGGTGGGCTATAGTCCATGTGGTCGCAAAGAATAGGATGTGACTGAGCTGAGCATAAATATTACTCTGATATCAAAACCAGATGTAAACATATATGCAAAAATCCTTAGCAAAATATTAGCGAACTGAATACATCAATACATTAGAAGGATAATACCTCATAATCAAATGGGATTTCAGGGATGAAAGCTTGTTTCAACATCTGAGAATCAATCAGTCTCATTTTCCACAGTAACAAAATGAAGGCTTAAAACTCATAATTATCTCAATAGATGCAGAAAAGCACTGACAGAATTCAACATGCATTTATGAAAAAGACTTTCAACGAAGTGGTTAGAGAGGGAACATTTGTCAACATAATAAAGATCAGGAACAAGGATGTAGGCAAGAAAAAGAAAAGGCATATAAGTTATAAAGGAAGAAATAAAACTTTTGTAGATGACATATTATATATAGAAACCCCTAAAGACTCTACCAGAAAACTTAGAACTAAGCAACAAAGTAAAAGAAGTTTCAAGATACAAAATTAATGTACAAAAATCTGTTACATTTCTTTACACAAATGATAAACTATCAGAGAAAGCAATCCTATTTACAATTGCATCAAAAGAACAAAATACCTAGGAAAAAATATAACCAAGAAGGTGAGATCTGTACATTGGAAACTGTAAGAAATTGATGAAATAAATTGATGACATGAATAAATGGAAAGATATTCCATGTTCATGAATTATAGGAATAGTATAAAAATGTCCCTACTACCTAAAGCAATCTACAGATTCAATGTAATCCTTAGGAAAATTCCCCAAAGGCATTTTTCACAGAAATAGAACAAAGAATCCTAAAATTTTTATGGAACCAAAAGACCCAAAATAGCCAAAGCAATCTTGAGAAAGAACAAAGCTGGAGTTATCATGCTCCCTGATTTCAAACTATATTACAAAGGTATAATAATCAAATAGTAATGGTATTGACATAAAAGCAGATAAATGAATGAGACAGAGACACACATGTATACAATCAATTTATGGCAAAGGAGCCAAGAATATATTGATGCAATAGAGAAAAGGCAGTCTTCAACAAACGGTGTTATATAAACTAGACCACTATCTAACACCATGCACAAAAACTAACTTGTAATGGCTTAAAGATCTGAATGTAAGACCTGAAACCATAAAACTTCTAGAAGAAAACCAATGGCACTCTCCTTGACACTGATCTTGGGAATGATTTTTTGTATTTGACAACAAAAGCAAAGGAAACAAATGCAAAAATAAACACATGGGGCTATATCAAACTATAGAGATTCTGCACAGCAAAGGAAATCATCAATTAAATGAAAATGTAATTTATGGAAAATATTTGCAAATCATATATCTGATAAGGGGCAAATATCCAAAACATATAAAGATCTCATACAACTCAACAGCAGAAAAACAGTCTGATTAAAACATGGCAAGAGGATCTAAATAAACATTTTTCAAAAGAATACATATAGATGGCCAGTATGAAGAGGTGCTCAACATCACTAATCATCCAAGAAATGCAAGTTAAAACCACAATGAGCTATTACTTTACACCTGTTAGAATGGCTATTATCAAAAAGACAAGAAATAGCGAATATTGGTGAGGAAGTGGAGAAAAGGGAATCCTTATGCACTGTTGGTGGGAATGTAAATTTTCAGTCACTCTGGAAAAATTATGGGATTTCCTGAAAAAATTAAAAATAGAACTACCATGTGGTCCAGGAATTCCACTTCTGGGAAAAAAATAAAAAAACACTCTTAAAAGTTATATGTACCCACATGTTCACTGCAGCATTATTTAGATAGCCTAAAAAAGAAGGCAGCCCACATGTCCAATGATGGATGAATGGATACACACACACACACACACATATATATAGACACATACACATATAAATGTATATAGAAAATATTTGGCGATAAAAGGGAATCTTTCCACTTGGGAAAACATGGATGGACCTTGCTCAGTGAAGTCAGATAGAAAATGGCAGATACTATATGGTCTCTTATATGTGGAGTCAACAAAATTTAAAAAGTAGAGGATTGAACACATAGATATACGGACAGACTGGTCATTGCCAGAGGCAGGAGGTGTATAGGAGTGGATGAAATAGATGAAGGGGATCAAATGGTACAAACTTCCAGTTAAAAATTATTAAGTCCTGGGGATATAATGTACAGATTGGTGAGTATATTTAATAATAGTGTATTGTGTACAACAAAGTCATTAAAACAGTGTATCTTGAAAGGTTTCATCACAGGAAAAAAATTATGTGAGGTGATGGATGTTCACTAGACTTATTGTGGTTATTGTTTTACAGTATATACAAATATAAAATTGTACAGTTGCACAACTAATATGTACATTATCATTCAATTAAAAAAATTCTGTATCCAGATCTTACATTCTTAAACTGTTATATAATTCTGTCTTCCTGGTCATTTCTAGGAGTATAAGAACATGAAGTTTAAAAATAAACGTCTTCTGGGCCACCTTCATTGTTTTCTGACATCTGCACTGGGCCAGCAGGCTGGTTTATATTTGGTTTGCCCTCTGCCAGCTTTTCTTTGGACTCACTTGTTAATAACTATGCTAATCTTAATAAGGGTGTCATTCAGTCTCAGGGTTTCAAGTCGTAGACATTAAGTGCTGTCAAGAAATGAATGACTGCCTGAAATTAATGACTATCTGACTGCCTTTAGGTGGCAATGCAAAAAGAGAACTTCTTTTCCTTACAGCATCACCTCTCAAGTACATAATTGGAGCACATGATACAAACACAGTATGGGAAACCCAATCCATCAGTTACTCTAAAACCTGGTCCATTTAACTTAAGATCATCTTGGATCTAAAAATTTACCCGTGTAAGTGTTTAGAGAGTGCTGACTCATAACTGATTATTTCCCTTGGTGCCATTTCTGAAGTACATCATAAGCCCTCTGGGGATACCCTTGCTGGGCAATTTATCTTTTTATTTTTCACTTATTATGTAATTTTATTTCCATAGGATCTCTGCCACAATTCACATCAAATGCTGCCATATTTGGGCTGTCAATTTTTTCCTCCCCTACTACTTTTTCCATTTGCTAAATTCTGTAGGAGATTTTGCAGTGGAAATGGCAATATCTTGTGAAGAAACAGC